ACGATGAGAAATGACGACAGGCGGGCAGAGAAGCGCAACGGTAAACTTCAGACAGAGATGGAGTCACGGTAACGGTGTGCGAGCAGGAAGGCAGCAGAAACCAGTGGCGCCAACTTAGCTGGTTTCCGGCCGAATATAACTGCGAACTTACTTTCCAACAAAAAAAATCCCAAAAAGGATATTCTCGTAGGACACTTTAGAAACTGTCAAGTGACACCAAAAAAACCTTTGTTCAAATACCAAAGAATCGTAAAACGAAACAAAGGAGTTTTGTAAATATACAAAAGGGTAAATATAGAACATAGTAAAATAACTATTTTACATATTGATCTAACCATGATAATGATAAATTAACAATTCAAAGTTTAGAGTCTCACTTACATCTATTTCCAAAAGGGAGTTCATCCCACACCTTATAAGTACACCCAAACAAAAATCGATATGAAGCGTAGGTCAATTTTACCTTATTTAAGATAAATTTTAATTTGAGATGAGGCCAGGTCGAAAAGGGTATTTCATATAAAAACGACCTGGGTTTTGCATGACCTGAAATTTACATGGCCATATCGATTTTACGGTGACATGCTTTTTTATACACTCATAAAAAAAAATCGAAGAATTTCCTTAAAATCTAGAAAATTCTTTCTTGAATTTTTGCCAAAGGCGACCTCACCTTTGTTTCAAGACATGGTTTTTTTGAAAGGCACCATTAAAACAAGAAAAAATATTTCTTGTTTTAAGAAATTAAATTTCTTAAAACATGAAAGGGTTTTTTAGAAAGCCACCATAAAAACAAGAAAAAATATTTCTTAGAACAAGAAAGGCGATTCTTGTTTCAAAGGTGGTTTGTTTCTTGTTTCAAGAAATTAAATTTCTTAAAACAAGAAAGGGTTTTTTAGAAAGGCACCTTTTAAACAAGAAAAATTCTTTCTTGTTTAAATTTTCTTTCAAGAAATTTTATTTCTTGATTTAAGAAATAATATTTCTTGCAAGGAAGTTTTATATTAACACTGAAACCCTAAAAATAAAATGTAACTTGGTTTTTTCTTTTGCATATTATATTTATTCACATTTAAAACATTTAACACTTAACATTTAAACATTTTTAAATAACACATTTTTGACTCAAGAAAACATTGTTATTACCCAAGGTCTGTTGAACTTCATATGACCTAAGGTGATCCATTTTCTTCGCCTTTCCTCATCTAGAAAAAAAGAGTTATTGGGATATCAATGATTTGTTTTTAGATAAACAGTTTTTTTGAAATAATGTAATGTTAATAATAGCCAAAATACAAACACGTTGGTCAGACGACCGAGAGAGAGGAGCAATACAGGTAGAAAATGAAGGGTTGAAAATCGAATTTCAGAGACAGAGAGGCACGGGAGAGACACGTACATACATACACATATATTTACATACAGTCCTTTGCGCGAAGGGAGACCGAATGTAAGCAGGGCAGATCGTGTCAGTTTTGAGAAGGAGAAGAGAGAAACGTCGCGACGCGTAGGTCAAGCGAGCGAGAGAGAGGAGCAGAATATGAAAGGGTTGAAAATCGGGTTTCAGATCGGGTGAGCCGCGTACATGCATAGATATTTACATGCATACATAAGTATGTCAATCAAATACAACACATTTTTCTTACCTTAGAAGGTTTTAAAACAAAATTACAGCTTCGACAAACAAATTATTTGGCTGATGCAACTGCAGGTATTTTCACTCTGAAAAATAAATAAAATGCGAGTAATAAGATAAAGTTATTATAGAACTGTACACCCACAAATTTATGTACAAATGTACAGTGAGTCACATTAATATTCGGTTTTTTTTTTTTGTCAACTTCAAACGTGAATAAAAAGTTTGAAACTAATAAAACAAAAAATCAAATAATGCAGAAATAAACCTTTTTTTATTACCTTTTCATAGATATATATATGTTATTACTTTTTTTAAAATTTAACTGAGAAACATGCATAAACGAAAGAAAAGCCGAATATTGGGGCCACATTAATATTCGGTTTTCCCTTTTTGTACTAAAAATCAAAAAAATTATTTAGGAAGTAAACTAAATTTGACATTTGAAATGCTAGCCATTATTGTCTATGGTATCGTTTAAATATTTTGGCATACTTAAAAATTTTTTTTTGCCTATTCTGGGCCAGTTTTTCCAACCTAAAAAAGGATGTACGGGATAATGTCAAAAAAGTTTGCAAAGGTACAACAAATTCTCGATTTTTTTTTTTAATTTATGGTTAAACCCTTAGTCTTTAACTAGAAATCAGTTTCAGCGCAATCCATTAATCACACCAAAAAAAATGGATGGGTACAAAAGCAGAGTCGCTCAAAAATTCATTTTTCCTTAAGTTTTGTATGGAATCAAGCAGCAAAACGCTTCTTCTGAGCGACTCTGTTTTGTACCCATCCATTTTTTTTGGTGTGATTAATGGATTGCGCTGAAACTGATTTCTAGTTAAAGACTAAGGGTTTAACCATAAATTAAAAAAAAAAAATCGAGAATTTGTTGTACCTTTGCAAACTTTTTTGACATTATCCCGTACATCCTTTTTTAGGTTGGAAAAACTGGCCCAGAATAGGCAAAAAAAAATTTTTAAGTATGCCAAAATATTTAAACGATACCATAGACAATAATGGCTAGCATTTCAAATGTCAAATTTAGTTTACTTCCTAAATAATTTTTTTGATTTTTAGTACAAAAAGGGAAAACCGAATATTAATGTGGCCCCAATATTCGGCTTTTCTTTCGTTTATGCATGTTTCTCAGTTAAATTTTAAAAAAAGTAATAACATATATATATCTATGAAAAGGTAATAAAAAAAGGTTTATTTCTGCATTATTTGATTTTTTGTTTTATTAGTTTCAAACTTTTTATTCACGTTTGAAGTTGACAAAAAAAAAAAACCGAATATTAATGCGACTCACTGTATGTATGTACGTAGCTCTTAGCTAAAAAACAATTCAACTTAATTGATATAAGCTTGGTAAAGAGATTTGGAATTTATCCTTTAATTACATACATACAATTGTACGCGCGCTATACAAAAAATTGAATATTTACATACCTTTGAATATTCGGAAAAAGGCTTCACCTCTTATCCGCTTGAAAATCACGTCCATCACTCACGAATTTTTTTCACAACTGACGCTCGGGGGATCAGAGAAGTCGGTAGCCGGGTAGGCCCTTCGTCCCACTTCGTTTTTCTTGTCGTTAACATTCGGCAGCCGAAGGAAGTCAATGGCTACTTTCCTATATTCTAGGGTCATTTCATTCATATATTCAAAGATGATTTTGTCCTTAAATACGTACAAAAATGTTTTGGCTGCGACGGCAAAACAAACATATGAGATTTTCATTTTACTATTTTTAAGAAAAATTCTTTCTTGAATTTTTTCCATCAAGAAAGGTTTTCTGTATTCAAAGGCCAATTTTCTAATAACAAGAAATTTTTTTTCTATTTTCAAAGGTAGGCCGATTCAATGGCGAGATTTCCAAAATTTAGAAATTCATTTTTATGAGTATTATTTATTATTGTATTGATTTTTCCGCGTCTGAGTTGGAGTCTTAGTTCACGGCTCGTCAGGTCCAGTCGGTCATCAAAAACAACACATTGAAGATTATTGTTAATGTTATTATCTATGTATAAACAAATGAAATACAAGACAAGAAAGAACGCTATAATCCTCGACTATCAGATACCCGTTACTTAGCTACAGCATAGGATTGGGAGATGGAAAGCGACTGCTTTGACTGCTCGAATTCCATTTTTAGTCATAACTTTTTATTCAATAGTCCGATAAATTTCTTCTACATTTTAATGTGCTTCAATAATTGCAATGAAAACTTACTTTTTCCCATAGTACATTGGTGAAATTCCGTAGCGCTTTTAATTTTCATAAAAATAATTTTCTACATCGCTTATATACGATTTTAAAAATTTCAATATTTCGGAAAAGTAAAAATTCAGTTTTATTGTGTGTATCAATACCTATCGAAATTTTTTAAATCGGACCATTCGTTAAAAAGTTACGGCGGATCAAAGTTTTTATCCCCATCTCCTTCGCACTCACTTTAGCTGAGTAACGGGTATCTGATAGTCGGGGCACCCGACTATAGAGTTCTCTCTTGTTTTAATGTGGCTATTTCCACGAAACGTATCCTTCATCCAAAAAGGGAGGGGGACGAATTTTTTCCAAGACTAAATCATGCTGCGTCCACGTGATCATTGTTTCTTAGCCGCATTAGAAGTTCGGCTAACTTTGATTGCATAATTGCGTATTGTAAATTGTCGAATTAGAAAAGAAACTGCGATGCCAGCTGTCTTCCGATTTCCGTTTGAGGCCTCTTTGCACCTTTTCGGCACGCGTTGTTCTGGCCACTTTAGGGCTCCATCCAACTGTTTCACTTCCGCAGCCTCTGAAACAAACTACGAACCAATGCAATTCGTACTTGACCTATTGGTCGCCCCCGCTGATTTGGCCCGCATGCCGTGCTTTTCACATTGCCAGTTTCTCCACTTTTGGGTTGCTCGGGTTTTACGCTCAGATTTACATCTGTTTGTATTTTCCTCCCAATTTGCGACCCTTGTCGATGGGCGGTTTGTTGTCTATTTCATTTGTGTTTGCGAACAGCTATTATGTCCATTAGCAAAAATTTTTGTCGGGTTTTTGTTCGAATTTTTCTACGCCACAGCTTGCTTGTGCTAACTCAATTAGCAGTTGGCCACCTTATAAATACGGCATATTCTAAATATATAAATTATTTAAATACATACATACATTAATTTTATTATCTTAAAACTTTCTTTAAAAATTCTCCGATACAAAAAACGTTAATTAGGTCAATACAAACATAAATTAAAAAAAAAAAATTAAAACAAAATAATTTATTTTAACAAGTTAAAAAACTTAAAAGCTGTAACAAAATATATTTTCAAATTTAAATCATTCCATACTTGATATTCCTATCAGGTTAAGGTTTGTGCGAGATCTAACTATTATGTAGGCAAAGTTATATTTTTTAAGCAAGAAAGCGGCAAAATGATAGAAAAGAACTACTGGGTTCCCGCAAAGGCTTTCCGACCCGAAAGCGAGCTAGCCGAGAAAAATATATGGCATAAAGGATTTACACCGACTTACGAGCAGGAGGAGCCACAAATGGGACTGATTCTATCCTGGCACTACGGAAGACAGTGGCTGGAAGAGCGCAATTCCCATGGAAAGGAAACAAAGAAAAAAATAAAGACAGGAGCCAAATTCATTCCACCCGACTACAGCAGTTGGCTTGAGAAGCGCAGGATAAATAAGACAAGACAACAGCTGCTGAAATCCTGATTAAGTTCATTGCTGTTTGTTGATTTAAGCAGTTCGTCAAGCTGAATCCTTTCCTTACCTTTTGGATTTTCTAATAAAATGAAACTAAATGTGTAAAATTAAAAACAATTATATTAACATTGTTATACCCGTTCGTCGTAGAGTAAGAGGGTATATTGTATTCCTGAAAAAGGTAACATGTAGAAGGAACCGGTTCCGAACCTTTAGAGTATATATATTCTTGATCAGGATCACTGGCCGAGTCGATCTAGCCATGTCCGTATGAACGCTAAGATCTCGGAAGCTATATATTGGGATTAACCATGCAGTTTCTTGGGGTTACTGTGAAGCGCAATTTTGTTGTTCAGAGATCAACGCTCTGTATCTGGAGCCCATATCTTTAAAGATTTCGAAAAAGTATAGGTGCAATTTTGTTGCGTTTATTAATACCTATCGAAATGTAGAAGAAATTATTCAAATCGGACAGTCGATTGAAAAGTTATAAGCAAATAATGGAAATAAAGCAGTGCAAGCAGTCGCCTTGCTGCAGGCCTATCTCCATCTCTTTCGCACTTCCTTAAGCTGAGTAAGCGGTATCTGATAGTGGAGGTACTCGACTGTAGAGTTCTCTCTAAGCTGGAAGTCTTGTAGCTGCGCAGTTACTTTCGCATAGTCTTTGCAGCCTTGATTCCGTCCTGTATCGCCCACGTCACTCAATGGTTTCCCCTGTATATCAAGTATGTTAGCCGGTCCCAATTGAAGTAGGCCCAGAGACATCAGACACAAACCTTTAGTGCCAATCAGATACTACCGACACGACAACAAGTGAAGACGCGAGAAAACAATTCCACACGAGGATGATTTCAAAAATCAAAACCTGGAGCCGCTCGCCGCTGATTCCGGCCAGAGATCACGGGTCAGCGATCCTTCCGCCGGCAGATCGGCCGGAACCCATTCCGGAGCTGTGCGAGGAGAAGCCAGTGATGGGGTGGCTGCTCGGCTGGGAGTACGGAAGGAAGTGGCTGGAAAGGCGCGAGGAAATCCAGAGACACCGGAACATGGTAAGCAAGTTCGGCAGGATTCCGCCGGATTTCAGCTGGTGGCTCAACCAGCGGAGACCGCTCTTTGTGCGCCAACAGCGATACCGGACCAAGGCCGGACCTCGTCCCCGGAAACAGATCACAGCTTTCGAAGAATCCAAGAAGAGGCGTGAGGCCCAAAACCGCAAACTCATGGAAAGTCAGCCCAAAACTCAGTAGAGTGCCCAAAGTTAGTTTTGTGGCCTGGGCCTTAATATCAAGCCATTAAGTATATTGAAGACAAAACTTGGACAAAATTGCTAAGCCGACAACATACAACAACATACTTATTATTATAAAATGTGTAGTTAAATAAATGTTACCACTAATGTTGTCCTATTTATTTGGTATATTTAATGAAATTTCCTTAAGCTCAATGAATAATTTAAATCAATTCAACAAAATCGATTAATTTTCCAAAAAATGTATCTTCAACTTTTCTATGCATTTCTATTATAATTGTTTAACTAAAATTGAGTACTTTAGCGGACTCGAGGTCATTTTTAGAAGTTGAGTTTATAAATCAACAGTCTAGCATTTCAACACACTTGCACTCGCTGAGGAGTGAACCTCGGACTTTCTGGAATTTGCAAATTTGGGTAGGGCGTTACCGCTACCTCATCAGCCAGAGAAGAGGATGTGAGCTGAGCGTCGAAACTCCTATTTATACCAAATTTAGGAATATGTAATTAAGAATTACATACTTATAGGGTGTGACTTACGTCAAAGCTTCGTCGGTAAACTTCTAAAGTGTGTGAAAGCTATATTCGTTGTTTGTTTGGAAATAATCTGTTTTCCAATTTTCAGACTTGAATAACAACAACTAATTACTTAATTGTTAATTTTGAAACGTACGCATTTTTAATGCATTTGCATTATGCAATTGTTATAGAGCGTGTCTCCCTTTTTGGTCATTAGTGATTTGATCGACCTATGTTTACTATACTTTAGCGGACTCGAGGTCATTTTTAGAAGTTGAGTTTATAATTCAACAAAAGTTACAAGTTACTTTAAGGCCCTCACATTTCACAATGAGTTTAACTTACTTCGAAATAAACAGAAATCGAAATCAAGCAATCTAACTAGAACTGTGTAAGCTTAAAAAATCCAAAATTGGATCGCATTGGAAGCCAACTGCAATGGCAATCCGCATTCGTTCTCCTAATCTGTCATTCATCGTCCGATTTTCGGTTATGCCAGTAGGCTTTTGTTGTTTATGGTTGTCCTACTGTTTGCAGGACGAGGTCGCGACGTAAGGACTAAAAAACAAAAGCGCAGCATCCCAGAAACCTTCGCAGAGTCATTTGTTTTTTGTTCCGCTTCCCCTGTGGAAATGTCCGACCAGGAAACAATGGATCATACTATACGTGAACTATATATTGTGCACGCATGGAATAGTCATCATCGTAATCGTCGTTGAGGTTTTTTTAATCGTCATCAGAGGACGGGTAAGTGAACAATTGGCCTGACCCGACTCAAGGCCCGTGGATATTTGTGTGCGGCTATATATATTTTTTATTTGCATTTCCGCCTCATTAACTTGCGCACACACATCTAAGCATACAGATCAGTGACATTATGTGTTCTTGGTTGCTTTTTAGTCTTTATTATTGTATTTCCCTTTTGGCGCGAAAACACTGCGAAAATATATTTCTAAGGGGCGTGCTCTTTTGCCAACCGTAAACTGCGCAGTTAAGTTCGTCTTTTTTTAAACCTCGTTTTCATTATTTCAATTTTAAGGGTTCTTTGTTCGGCTATCCAACTTTTCCCTTTCGTGCAGCTTTTAGTTTCGTATATTTTTCAAATACAATACATTTTTGCTGATGATTTAATTTGTACCTCATTTTCTTTCGATATTTTAGAGCGAAATGAGTTTTGATTATAAGCACTAATTAGTGATAGAAAGTGTTTATTAGGTATACCCTTCGGATCTTTAAAATGTATTGGTCTTATTATTTATCTCATGTGCCATTACGTGAGCCAATTTCTCTAATACAAAGGTTGAGACTTTCTAGTCCAATTATAATAAATTGCCTTAGCCAATTATTCGGTGACTTATGGAATCTAGCTGCGGTAATTATGTTTAATAATCATATATTATCTTTGCGTATTAAACCCATTAATTTCGCGCTCATTTCTCCTCGTTTCCCGCATTGATTCGCCATTCGCTCTGTATATTTTTAACCACATTCTGGTTTCGTATAATTTTCCACGCCATTTATGCCACGAAGAAAATTGTATAGCAACAACAACAGAGTAAAATGCTTCATACTGTGCTGCAGTTTTCTGCGCATAAATTAATGAAAACAAATAATGGTCATGATGTTATTTCCATAAGGCGGGGTGAATTAAGCCAGCAGCATGAAAGGGCTGGGAAATATACGATACAGCATTAAGTATGGGGCATGAAAATGGGAATGGAATAATATAATGAAATACCTTTGCTAAATGGACAAGAGAAAATACTTCTTTTGCTTATCAAATCAAGTTTGTGTCTTCCACACAAAAATTAAACCAATATGAGAAGTAGAGAAAATGAAAGAAGACCAACATTTTTCTAGACCCTTCTGTAGGAACAAACCAATATTCAATCCATTATATCTTTTGACTTAATCCGAATATTAATATAAGAAGTTATTAATAAAAATCTTACTTTAACTTCTTATTCTAGTAGATTACATCTATTTATATTAACCTTTTTAACAAACTGGAGAACGATGCTTAGGACATAACCGTGATTGTGCCTTCAGCGAGTACAAAATCGAACTAACAAGAGTAGATGCTTGCCGTGGACAAAAGCCAGCGAACGATTGACAAACGAAGTTCAAAAAGGAGTAGCAACTACAGCAAAATAAGAGTGGTGTTCCTGTCCTTAATTTATTTTGTAATTTATCTTTATATCGAAATCTGTACAAAATTTAATAATAAAAATAGTTGCCAAAAGGAATGTATTCTGTAATTTTCAACACAAATTAATTACAATAAAATTTTACCCAATCTTACATTTTATAAAATTGTAGATCCTAACTATGAAGATGCATAAATTCAAATTAAAATCCAATAAAGTCATATTCTAGCTCCATTGTGAATAGGAACTGAAATAGCAATTGGATTTGCGGTCGAATGGCCAATGAGAAACCGCAAAAACTAATTACATCGCCAAAACAGCCACGGATAAAAACAAAATGGCCGTCGCCAGAAGCGGAAATGAGCTTTGTTTATGTGTGCGACCACAGAACAGATGCTGATTATAAAGATAATTAATATGGCTAATTAAACAGGCAAATGCAATTCAGAAATTGCATTGCCAGGCACAAGACCACAGAGGGGAAGGGCGCGAAATGAGCTCGGAAAACAAGCGAAATTTCAACGGCTCCTGCCACATAAAAGCCAATTAATTATTTTTATGGCTACTCCGGGCCAAGAGCCAACTCCACCAACGGAAGCCAACAGCCAACGTCTTGGCTCTCTCTTTTTCCCTGGGCCCGGGATAATAAAAAATTATGGCCTGCGATTTGGCTCACTCGAAACGAAGCGAAAGCAACCGAAAAATGCAGAACAAAACACAGTGCGCCACTGACCAGGCTAAAACCCCGCCCTTATCCCCTTACCCCCTCGACATCGCAATGCATACTAAGTCCTCGAAAAAAGTAAAATCCTGCTCCCATGCAAGGGCCAAAAAGATGGCGCCGTGCTGTGTACAAAATTGATCAGTGGATTCCCTGCCGTTTGAACTATGACGCGATATGTCATCATATTTTCTCGTTGCAGTTGAAGGGACAACAGGGGAGTGACGGGGGGCGGAGGAAGGGGCGTGGAATTCTGGTGCTCCTTGTTTGCCATGCATATTTCTCACTTTGTCAAACCTTTTGTGCACTGCGCAAGGCCGCAACTAAATTGCATTGGCGCACAGAGAAAAATTATTGTTATTTGGAAATTGTTATTGTTATTTGGGAACTTCCATTATAAGTATGGGATTGCTGTTTTAATTTTAAATTATGAAATCCGTTAAAGACACAATAAATAATACCTTTATTTAATGCTGTAAATTAGAATCTTTTAGTTTTGTAGGCTAAAAACTTCCATTACATTCTACAAATTACGTGCAACACACACTTTGATTAACTTTGATTATTTTCTAAAAATTCTAAAATTTAAGCCTAATTTATTTATATTTTTTTATACATTTACTATTCTAGTGGGGTTTCTTTCTGTGCACATACTCTTTTCTTCGTCGTTCCCTTCTATTGGTCATCTTGTATTTAACAGTTGGGCTGAGCATCATTTATTGCCTGGGCTACCGCAAAATCAATTTCGACCCCAACTTTATTTAGCCTTTGTTTTGGATTTTTCGGAGGCGCCCCAAACCGCGAAAGGAACTCATTCAGGGCCAATCCCACCGCCTCTTCTGATGGCCTTTTCTCCGCTCATTTTATTGGCCAAGGCAGAGCCCGAGTAATGGCCGTCACCGCTCCGAAAAACTCCTTGCCCCTCGCATTTTATGTCGTTCTGGTCGGGTTCGTGTTTCGAACGGGTTCCCAATGCAATTTCTGTTTTGGCTGTATTTTCGGACTTGTCTCCTTTGGCAAATCTCCATTTGGGAGTTTTGTGGTAAATAAGTGAATACCTTCGGTTTCTGAATTTTCCTGGATTTCTTTAAATATGATATTTCGGAATAAAGTAATAAATACATTCTAAAATATACAAAAATATTTAAAGAAATAAATATTTAATTTAAAATAAATACTATCTAATTAATTAATATTAATTAATATTTAACTGATTTTACAAAGTTTTTAAAATATACTTCAATGTAAAACCTATTTTGGGACTTTAAATAACTTTGCACCCACCACGAAGATAAAATTTATGTTCATTCGCAAAAGTAAAGTAATTATAATCTATAACTTTCTTATACTAAATTTGTTTACCTAATACAAATTCTATATTGAAATCCTACTTTGAAAACATTCAACTGAACTTCTGTAACTACGATTGATCGAAAATCCACATTTTTTTTAAATTTCCAACTTTTTTCTGTTACGACTTCCCATCCTCTCCACTACCCTGGCCAGTTCATTAAAAACTTCATTACCCGAAGAGGCAAACTCGGCAAATCAATTTTGATTTACTTCGAGCACCAACAGACATACGGAACATATATCAATACGCTCGCCCCCATAGCGGCTATCCCCTGGATTTTC